GGTGCATAGTTAATATATTTAATAGTTTAGTGTGCCACATCATCAATAAACTAATCCAAGTCAGAAGAGAAATTCAAGAGTCCCATTCAAGTAAGTATTCCAGCATTTTTATTCAGGAATAAAGGAGGGTAGACCCGGGGACTTTAGGAGTGGACAGAGAGAGTTTTTGGGTTTTCGAAGGTGCAGAGAAGAGGTCGCAGCAAGTAGTGAAACAGAGTCGCCGATCATCTAGGCAATCCATCACCATCGTGTGGAAGTATTTTATATTTTTCAGAATTTTAATTATGTTTTCAGATTTTATGAGTAACTAAACTCTTTTTCTAGGGTTAGGATGATGCCCTAGCATGGATGTTTATGGTTTTTAATGTTATTCATTGGATTTCCAGTTTCTTTTAGATGAATGCTTAATCACTGTTTGAATTGTTACTGTTTGTTTGAGTTCTTTGATTGATCACCTTAGGACTTTGCATCTAGTAAGATTGGAAGATGAATTTGAGGCTAAACTAGCAATATAATTCAATTAGCTTCTTGTGGTTAAGTGTGGTAAATTACATTATTGCTTGACAAAGAATAATGGTTTGCTTGGTTCCCTTGTTTTCTAGAGCGTAAATAGTCCTACTTGTTAAATTTATGCCTTAACTAGGATAGACTGCATGTTAGGATATACTGCATGTTAGGATATGCGACATCTGCCTGAACTAGGAAAGAATCATTCACTTAAGGAAAACTATGGTCTAATGTGCCTGACAAGGACTTAGATACGGGAATTATCATCTAAAGAATCGAAAGATCCATTGAATGCATTGCAACCTAAACTAGATTGCTTGTGGTTGATTCCGAATCCCTAGATTTTCATCACTTGCCTTAAAACACAACGTGTTCTTTTCTTTAATCTCAGTTTTTACTTAAGGTTCTGTTTTTGTTCGTTTATAAAATCATTACAACAAATTCTTCACATCCTTAATTGATTTATTAATTAAGATCGAGTCTAGTTCGTTGTTTGGGGTTGTGTGCCATTAATATTATTAGATTTGGTTTGGTTGATCAAATTGGAGATTTAATCAGAATCCTCGTGGGAACGATACTTGGACTTGCAACACGCTATATTACAACTATCTTGTGCACTTGCAAGTTTACACCACCATCCATCCCTTTCCAGCATACAAAGTACAAACCTCTGTAAACTCAAGGAGAAGTGGCTGCAAGAGGTTTAACCTTGACAGACAAGGTGAAATCTTGCCCGACTTCCTTGTGTTTGTACCTACATTTGTAGATCTATTACTTAATGCATTCTCTAGTATGTATTTAAGTTATTTCCATCAGTTTTCCTACTTCGAGAACGTCATTTGTAGTTGGATCTGGTTAGTTTAATGGATATGTCAGCGTTAAAACCAACCAAGAACCAAGTAAATGGCTTAAAGCGTTTTGAACTACCTTCATACAAACATACAAGACTATGAACTAAAAGTCCTTCGTCACAAGGCAAGAAAAAGAACTTAATGTGGATTTAACCCATCAACGACATCCTTTGATAACAAGAAGTCCAAATAACTTGGGGTGCAAGTAATTGACTAAAACACACTTGTTCTATATCTGTTATACTGAGATAGCAGTGACACGCCTAGCACTTAGTTAGTTTTGATTGCAAGTCTTAAGGCCTACACCTAAGGCCCCATAAAGGCACATTTCAGAACTAACTCTATCATCTTGTTGCAACACATCGACAAGTAAGAGCCCGACTATACATCCAAAGTGCCAAACCCTTGGGGAGCTGTGCAGAGGTTTGAGGATCCTTCTCTGGAGAAATCTTCGCCACGAAGAGAGGGTATATATGACATTTTCCACCCTGCTTAATTTAGGTTAAAGGGCTTAGTTTTCATTACAACGAATAAATTGTACACATAAAGTTCATATCATATAGTTTGGGATCTTATCAAATGAAAAGAAGACATATATATAGGTATTGTCTCAGCATGAACATATATTATCCAAAGCATCTATCGGATGAATCCGATGTAACACCTTTCCATAATTATATACACGATCCAAACTATATGCACACGTGGCAATAATCAATCCTTTTCAATTACTTACCTTGGATTCTCTTGTGGATGCTAATGTCATCAATTTTCATGTTTAATTACGCTCGTACTAATTAGGGTTTGCGGGAAAGTTCTATTATTATTCAATTACTCAAGGAGGTGATGAATCTTATGTAGTTATTCTCATCAATAATTTCATGCTTCAAAGTGTAGAGTAATATTTATTTGGCTCTGAAACTTACGTTCAATCTTATTTTTTCTGCTGACATTCAAATTTCGTCATTTAATCCTCTTGAAACTTGATTTTTTCTCCACTTTGATGAGAGTCTGTTTATGCTGTCAAACGTATAAGGGTTTGTAAATTCCTCTGGTTGGCATTGTAGACCACTAAGAGCATCTCAAACTGAGGCTTTAATTCCACGGTGGAAGCTCTAACGTTAGTTTTTTTTACAGCATATGCTTCCCAACCAATTTGTCAAAACTGAGGTGGAATTTGAGCGTCAAATGCTTCATTTTAATTTTTAAATATTTTTCACCACTTCAAAAGCAACTTGTTTATTTTTCATTCGTCTAAGTCTCACCAAAAAGTAAATATAACATATTTTATATATGTAGGGGGTCCTACTTAAATAGAAAAAAATTAGAAACTGACATTTCCATTGGAGAACGAAGATTTAAAATTATTATTTTAATGACAATTAAGCCATCAATACAAATTAAATACATATTTTTGACACTCTATTAAAAATGCTCTAAATTTGAGAAGTGCCATGTGGTTTTCTTTCGTCCTCCCTGCTCAAAAAGCTCAGACTCTTTCTCTCTCTGTCTCTCTGTCTCTCCCCCCCCCTTTTTATTGATCAATCTCTCCCCCTCTCTCGGAGCTCACTGAAAGCTCAAGATTCCAAAAACCAAAGGTTATTAAAGTCTCTGATGGCGACGTCATGCTCTCTTGTTGGGCACCCCAAAGTACTCTCTTAAGACACCAATTGGTCAAAAACAAGTTTTCTCTCCGTGGTGAGAGCCCTCCGTTGTGAGCTCTATTCTCTCCTCTGTGAGAGTGTTCTTGTCGTTGCTTTTTGGGGGTCAGGCTCTCATTCAATGCGCCTTTACAACCGGAAGGTCGGAGGCTTGAAGGTCTGCCAGCAGAGGTTGGTGGCAGTTCAACTAAGAGCAGTTATTGCTCTGATAGTCTGTTTCTCAACCATGAGTGCAGTGGTTCGCATAGTGCCGTCTAACCTCAAATCAGTCAAAATAGCGGGGTTAACGAGCTCTCTAGCAAGCATTCACTATCTGGGTTTCAAAGAAGGAAGTACCAATTTCTCTGTCCTCTTTACCTTTACCCACACCCACAATATGAGTTCTATTTCTGAGGATGATCGAGTTCAGGTGCATTCGGCGATGGAGGATCTGGTCGTACACCTAGAGGAATCTTTGGAATTAACTCCGATGGAGCAAGGTGTGAAACTGGTGGGAGCAGTGTTAAACGCGAAGCAACTCAATAAGTGGGGGGTCAGAAACATTCTGCGGGCAGCTTGGAAGGAAATGGGAGAGATGCAAGTCAAATGGGTGAAAGATAATCTGTATATCATTATAGTTCCTGATGAGAACTCGGCTAGGCAAATTCTATCTCAGGTTCCCTGGGCTGTGATGAAATTTTTTTTTTCAGTTAAAAGTTGGTCCCAGGACTTAGCTTTGGAGGAAATTCAATGGGATTTGGTCCCCTTTTGGGTCCAAATCAGGGGCGTTCCGTTATGTCTCAGTTCGTCTTCAAACATCACGAGGTTAGCTACGGCTATTGGGCAGGTGGAGGAAGTGGAAGATCCGTCTATGGCACGTGGATTTCTGCGAGCGAAAGTGCTTGTTGATACTACTATGCCTCTCATCACGGGATGTTGGTTGCCCAGGAAACAGAAATAGGACACCTGGATTGAATTTAGCTATGAAAGACTTCAGGATTTTTGCTACAGGTGTGGAAGAATTGGGCATATGAATACGGATTGCCCATTTGAGCAACATCGGGGTGGTGGAAATGGTTATGGGGATTGGTTAAAAGCTGCCCCGATTCGGGAAATTATTGAACGTCCGAGACCAGCTCAAACCAATCTTAGCGGACGGAGAACGGCAGGTATGAAGAGATTGATAGAGATTGGAGGTGGAGGGCAGCGCGTAGGAGGCAGGGCAACCCGTCGAGTGAAGCTAATATGGCAAGCACGGAGGGCCCCACACACATTGAAGCGGCTCGCATTCCCAGTGAAATGCAGACCTGGAGACAGATTGGAGGGTTTAACATCGTGGATCTCAATAAGGGGTCTTGTCCGTGGGCTCTAGCTGAACACCTGCACGTGATCAATGGTCAGTTGGGTTGGGCTTCTGGCTTATTGGGCCCTCAATCTAGTAGAACTCTGGACTTTCACATCCCGCTGGATTTGAGCCCATCAGTAAGACTTGTTCACCTGGATGAGGGTTCGTATGGCGTTACTGGGCGGCCCACGGCTGGCTCGAGTCTGACGGAGGACACGGAAGCCCAAGACAAGATTCATCTTAACTCAACAACGGGTATGGAGAACCCAATGATGCACGTTATTCAGACACCTTTACTGGTTTCTCCTACACAAAGGACAGTCCTCCCCCGTAAAGGTTCCAAACAGAAGAGAATGCTAGAATTACAACATGCAGACTTGGCTTTCTCTGTCACGAAAAGATAAAGAAGGGAGATGGTGGTATTCCGCGACAGGATAAAACGCGATTTCGGAATCTTTGTGTCTAGGCCAGGTACTTGGAGGGGGAGCGGGACTCATTGGTGCAGAAAGCTTTTCTAGAGTTTCATTCTAACAGCCCAGCCCATGGAGTTTTTTCGGAGGAAAGTGGAGACATGGAGCAGAGGTTTAGTACGGAGCAACATCAGGATGGTTCATCTCGTGGCGGTGACGGCTGGCCCCTAACAGCCGCAAGGCAGCCATGAATTACCTTTTTTGGAACTGCCGTGGTCTAGGGTCGGACCCAGTAGTTCGGGCCCTTCGTGGGCTGATCAGGAAACATAGACCCTTTATGATCTTTTTATCTGAGACGAAAATGAAAGATCATAGGATTGATGGTATTCGTAGGTGTATGGGGTACTCTTTTGGCTTCCATGTTTCGCCTATTGGTCGGGCAGGGGGATTAAGTTTATGGTGGCATGAGTCGATGAATGTTAATATCCTATTTTCTTCTACTCACATTATTGATGTGTGTTTCTGCATGGAGGATTGTCGCTCCTGGGTGCGTTGTACTTTTGTTTATGGTACGCCGTACAGAAGAGAAAATATGGATTTCTGGAATTGGATGACTACCTACTTTGGTTCGACGGATATTCCCTGGCTTTGTGGTGGGGATTTCAATGAGTTTGTGTGGGACCATGAGAAATCTGGGAGAGCTCGTGTTCTTTACAATAGACCTGGATACTTGAACAATTTCTTGAATGCGGCTGATTTGATGGATCTGGGGTTCATTGGTCCGAAGTTCACGTGGCGTGGTATGCGGTATGGTAATCTTGTTGAGGAAAGGTTAGACAGGGTGGCTGTTAACTTTCTTTGGCAAAATCTTTGGCCCCATACTTCAGTCATTCATGAGACGGTGATTGGCTCGGACCATTGCCCAATCGTGGTTCAATCCCAGCCCTCTGCGAGTAAGGGTAAACGGCTGTTCCGTTTTGAGGCTTTCTGGGCTAAGGAAGAGGATTGTAAGGATTTGGTGACAAAGTGTTGGAGCTCTCCAGGTAAGGGGCGGTGGCTCGATACGTGGCATCAGAAACTCTCAGTCTGTAAATCTCATTTAATCACTTGGAGTCGAAACAAGTTTAAGAAGCACGGTTTGGAGATCGAGGAGTTGGTGCATCATCTGGATTTGCTTCAGCTTCATTGGGAGGATAATGTTGAGGAGATACAGGTCGTCTCTAATCGCGTTGATCAGTTGCGTGAACAGGAGGAGCTATATTGGTTGCAGAGGTCTAGAGTCAACTGGTTACGTGATGGTGATGCCAATACTGCTTTCTTCCATCGCACGACTCTTCAAAGGAGACGGGTTAATTCAATTGTTAAGTTGAAAGATGTGGATGACCATTGGGTGGATGATGGTAGGAGGGTCTTCACCTTAGTGGAGGATCACTTTCAATCCCTTTATACTTCTGTGGGTAGTAGGGATTGGGGTAATATACTTAACTGTTTGGAGCCTATGGTTTCGGAGTTAATGAATGCTGATCTTATTAAGCCTGTTTCTGAGGAGGAGATTAAGGCTGCTGTTCATCAAATGGGGGGTTTGAAGGCACCGGGACTGGACGGGTTTCAAGGTATTTTTTATCACTCATTCTGGGACATTATTGTTGCTGAGGTGAATGGTTTGGTGATGGATTTCATGCAGGGTGTGGGTAACACTCGGAGCATTAACTTTACGTACTTAGTTTTGATTCCTAAAGTCCCTACTTCTGAACTAGTGTCCCAATAGCGTCCTATCAGTCTTTGCAATTTCTCTTTTAAGATTCTTTCCAAGGTGTTGGCAAATCGTTTGCAACCTTTGCTGCCTCTGTTAATCTCGCCTATGCAGAACGCTTTTATTGCGGATAGGCAAATTCAGGAGAACCTTGGGCTTGCCCATGAATTGTTCCATTTCTTGAAGCTGAGGAAAACTAAGCAGAAGTTTGAGATGTGTGTTAAATTGGACATGCAAAAGGCGTATGACCGAGTTGAATGGGACTTCTTGGAAGCGGTTTTGTTAAAGCTCGGTTTTAGTCGAGACTGGACCAATTTGGTCATGAACTGTGTGCGTACGGTGAAGTTTGCAATCTTACTGAATGGTTAGCCTGGGAAATGGTTTTCTCCCTCTCGTGGAATCCGTCAAGGAGACCCTCTCTCTCCGTATTTGTTTCTTATGGTTAGTGATGTTCTTTCCCGTATGATTCAGAGGGGAGTGGATGATGGGCGGCTTAACGGTATCCACATGAATCCTCGTGGTCCTTGTATCTCGCACCTGTTTTTCACGGATGATACTTTAATCTGCCTTCAGGCGACTCAGAGAAATGGTGAAAATATTATGCATATCCTCAACCAGTATTGTTTGGCCTCGGGTCAGATGATGAATTTTCAAAAGTGTAGTGTGTACTTTGGTCGGAACACTCCAGCTCAGGTGAGGTCGCAGCTTGGCTCCTTATTAGGTATGCCGTCGGTGTCCGACCCGGGGGTGTACCTTGGGCTGCCTGCCATTTGGGGAAGATCTAAGCGTAGTAGCCTTGCTTTTGTGAAAAGGAGAGTGTTCGGAAAGATTCAGGGCTGGAAGCAATCTGCTCTCTCTTTTGCGGGGAAGGAAGTTTTACTGAAGGCTGTTGTTCAAGCTATTCCTACCTACCCTATGAATTTGTTTAAATTCCCGGTTGCTGTTTGCAAAGACCTAGACTCTATGTCTGCGGGCTTTCTATGGGGTGACTGTGGTGGGCATAGGAGGATTCATTGGGTGAATTGGGATACTCTGGGTCGGCCTAAATATGAAGGGGGTTTGGGATTTCGGAATTTCCAGGACTTCAATGATGCGTTGTTAGTCAAACAATGTTGGCGTTTGATTCTTAATCCTAATTCGTTATGGGCTCAGACGCTAAAGGCACGGTACTTCCCTCACTCTTCTTTCTTGGATGCGAAGTTAGGAAGTCGTGCCTCTTGGGCTTGGGCTCGTGGGTCGTGACATTCTGAAAAATGGAGCTCACTGGCAGATTCTGAATGGCAGGGATACTCGACTTTGGGTTGATAGATGGCTACCCTCTCTTCCTCTTGGGCACCCTATTCCCAGTTCTCCCACTTCTGTCACTCTGAATACCAAGGTCTCATCCCTTATCTGCCCGAGTACCAAGTCGTGGGACATTGAATTTTTACGTCCGTTCATTTCTGAGGTGGAAATCAAAACTATTTATGATATTCCTTTGGGGAATTGTTCTCGCCGGGACCGATTGATCTGGACGTCGAGTAGGTCGGGTAATTATACGGTCCGGTCGGGTTATCACTAGATCCATTCCTCACGGGAGTTGACGAGGGCTCCTGCTTCTGTCGTCACAAGTACTTTGGGGACCTCGTTTTGGAAAGCTATTTGGCATGCTAAAGCCCCGCCGAAAATTCGTCATTTTTTATGGCGAGCTGTTAGTGAGGCTTTGGCCACTGTGGGGGGTTTGTTTAAGCGCAGGTCTGCTTCATCTCCCATGTGTCCTATTTGTAAGACTCAGGAGGAATCAGTGCTTTATTTGCTGCTGAGGTGTCCCTGGGTTGAGCCAATTTGGTTTGGTGGTCCGCTTGGTTTTCGGAGGGTTGGTGAAGGTGTGTCTTCTTTTCATCACTGGCTCAGTGTTTTGATCAACTAGACTCCTAATCTTCAGGACCGATCGAGGCTTCTCTCTGTCATTTCTTTCTCTTGCTAGTACATTTGGAAGGCTAGATGTAATTTTGTCTTTAAGGCTTCGGCCTTAGCTTCCTCCCAGGTGCTGCATTCTATCTCTTTCTCACTGGGTTCTTTTTTGGAGGTGCAGGTTCCTTTGTCCCGATCCCGACCTTCCCCCATTCTGGATCCTCGTTGGTCCCCCCCATCTGCTCCCTTCATTAAAGTTAATGTTGATGCTAGCTGGTGTCAGATGGATGGTATGGCTAGGTTGGCTGCGGTGCTGAGGGATCATAATGGGCTTTTTGTTGCGGCCCGCAAGTGGTCTATTGGTGTTCCGTCCGTGGTGTTCGCTGAAGCTTTGGCGATGCTAAAGGGCTGTGAGTTGGCGGCTGAATTGGGCTTTCGGTGGATTGTTGCTGAATCGGACTCGCTTGAGGTAGTCTCATCTTTGAAGGGTGATATTGCTCAGGGCAGCTGGGAAGTGTTCCCCATCCTGGAATCTATTTTATGGTTGGGGAGTTCTTTTCAGGGCTGTCACTGGTCTTGGGTTCCAAGACTGGCCAATCAGTCGGCGGACCATCTAACGTCGAGGTCTAATTTGAAGATGTGCGGCATCACTTGGGTCAGGCGACCCCCATCTTCTTTGGTTCACATTCTTAACAAAGATGGTCTTCCTTGCCCTCCATAAGTGGTTTTTGGTTTGGGTGTGTGTTGGGATGACGTCTCACCTTTGTGGTAGCGTCCTTGTTCTGTTGTTCTCCCTCACATAGCCCTTTGTTTGTTTTGCTGTGCTTGCCCTTGTGTGGGCTCTCTGTTTTTCTGTTGGCTTTTGGCCTGTGCTCTTATAGTATCTCTTTCCAAAAAAAAAAAAAAAAAAGAAAAAAAAAAGACACCAATTGGTCCAATTTTCTCTCAATTTGTTCTTGTTTTTTGATCTTTGTCCAAAATCCTAATCCCCAATTATATTTCCCCTCGGGAACTTACAAAATTCTCCTTATACGTTGTCACATTTGATAGAATGAACAGAATCTCATCAAAGTGGAGTAAATGTTAAGTTTCAAAGTGCAAAGTGACTAAATTTGAGTTCTAAAGAGGAAGAAGTAAAATTAAAGTTGAGTTCGAGGACATTGCAGAAAATAAGCCTATTTGTATAAAGTTTCTCCTTGTATGAGATACTTTGGATGCGGTCCCTAATCCTTAACATTCTTTGATTAAAACCTTAATGGTATTCAAAGTTTGATCAAAGTCCATTGACTTTGTACACCTCATTATACTATTAATATTTATATTTTTATAGTTTTGACATTAATTGTTTGATATTTTATGAGATTTATAATCCTATAAATAAAAAATCCCTAATTATAATACTATTAGAAACGGTTACAATAAAAGAATTCAAACATTTTGATTGAATAAATGGATAAAAACTATGTAAAAATAATAAATAATAAATGGCAAAAGGATGTATCCATAGTGTTAAAAAAATTGGTACATTTCACATATGTACATTAATAAAGAAGAATGGGTACATTATAAATAAATTAGGGTACATATAAAAGATAATTATGAGTACAAATGAATTTTTACAAAATATAGGCCCTAAAAGAAATTAATACATGGGTACAAAATAAAACTAAAAAGAAAATACTACAAATTTTAAAAAAATGTTGCAAATTAAAAGTGGGTACAAACTAAAAATATAAATATATGATACAAAGTTTAGGCATAAAACATAAATATACCATATGTAATTTTTCTATCATTGATTAAATATACAATGTCACGTGACGGTATACACATGGGTACAAACATAAATAAAACTTTTAAAAATATGGGCACAAAAAGAAATTAATATATGAGTACAAATTAAAAATGCAAAGAAAATTGGTACAAATTAAAAAAAGGTTGTTTTATTAGCACCCCACATATTATTGAATACACCACACATACTTAAAACACCTCATACTTACTTTTTAAACTTAAAAATATCTTAATACACCCCACTTACTAACCAAAACTACCCTCACACCCCACACATTTCATACACCCCCACCAAAATCTACAAGTCTTCATCTTGTCCAAAAAATAAATTTAAACCCCTTGCCTTTAGCACACAAACAGTGTGCATGGTTCTACTGCTTCAAGATTTTTGTCAATTTAGGGGAATTAGGCTTTAGATGTGAATTTGATTTTAAACTCAGAAATGGCTACTTTGCTGGCTTTTCTGAAATAAAAAATCATGAAAGGACTAGTTGATTGTGCTATTGCTGTGTCCATGCAGATTCTCTGTTCTGCAAAATTGCACCACAAACCATCCTAAAAAATAAACAGCAAACATACCTGAAAATTTTTAACAAAAGAAAAAACCATTACTACACTATCTCAAAGAAGATATGAATATTTCAGAGTACTTCATCTCTTATGTTGTAGAATCTTTAACATTATATATATATAAACATAATCACAAGATATTGTGAGTGCAGGTGTATGTAAAATTATATATAATTTACGGGTGGTTAGGATTTTTTAAATGATTTGAGGCGTAGGAAGAAAATAATTGTTTTTCTTTACTTTCTAAGGTTTAAATAGTCATTTTATATAAATCATTTAACAATAAATATTAAGTGGGGTGTATTCAACAATTAGTGGGGTGTTAATAAAAAAAACCCTTAAAAAATATTTGCAAATTAAAAATAGGTACAAACTAAAAATAAAAATATATGATAAAAAGTTTAGCCATAAATATAAACATACTAATTGTAACATTTTTAACACTAAAGGAATATATTTAAAAATAAAAATATTTTATTATTCAAATAATTAATGATATTATTAATACCCAAGGACCCTAATCAAAAATTAAAAATAAATAGGATTTTAATCAATGGAGTAATAAAAATAAGGATGTAAACCTAATTTCTCCTTGTATAAATTTTACCATCAATCTTTATCAAAGGAAGGATGACAAAGCAAACATATGTTTCCTTTTTTTCTCTTGATACTCGAGAATCTTATTATTTCCTAATCTATGATATACTTTGGATCTAGCTACTAGCATGTAGTTCAATAATGTTGAGTTGTTTTGTTCCCAAAACAACACAAAACAAATCAAAAGAGATCCCTTGCATTCTTCCTTCTCCACATATATGTATATGTATATGTATATATGTGTCATTAGCTTTCTTATTTGTTTATGATAATCATTGCTTATAAGTTATATATGATTTCTTAATCAAACCTAACCTAATCAGCACCTTTATTGCAGACACCTTTATTGATAAGTTTTTGTCTTTGAAAAGGCATCAATGCATGCGTGGAAAAATCATTGAAATTCAGTATATAATCTGTGTACATAGATCTTACGTGTGCATGTATAGAATATGTAAGCCTTGTTTAATAATTTATAAATTATTATTTTTTAGGGAGTATTAACGAAACTTCCGGTACTGTTCATTTTTAATAAAAAAAAATATTTTTATCTTTTCTTAGTATTATTCACTACACCTTTATTTGTTATTTTTCATTCAAACTAAACTTTTTTTTAGACTTTTCTTTAATTTTCCTTATTTTTTTATCTATGTTAAATTTGATAGAGTACTACATTGGTAACTCAGTTTTAAGATTGTCTAACATGATACCAAATTTCTCGTTGAAAGTTGAGATTGCACTCTAAAACATAAAATTGCCAGCGAAGTAAAGTACTACAGTACTACTAGCTAACCAACTTAATATATTTGATGAAATGTGAACACACATGAGAGTTTGTCCCTTTTGATTGAACCACAAGGTATGAAAAGTGAGGGTCTATTAATTCAAGCAAAGAACACGATTCATACAACGTGAAATAGCCAGCAAAGATCCTCAATTTGTTCAAATGGCTTCGTGGCACCACACTCGATCAGCTTTTTGTTCTCTACCTTTTGGAAGATTTGATCATTTGGGCTTGCATGCCAATTAGAGCAAATCAGTACTAGTATTATTTCCTAAAGAACAATAATTGTATTTAATTTGTTGAGTAAATTGTAGTTATGGTCCCTTAATTTTAACTCAATTGGAGCAATGGTCCCTCAACTAAAAATTCATTACCATTGGTCCCTCAACTCATCAAAACGTGTAGCTATGGTCCCTCAACTAAAAATTCATTACCATTGGTCCCTCAACTTTAATTCAACTGGAGAAATGATCCCTTAACTTTAACCCAATTGTAGTAATGGTTCTTCCAACATAACTCGTTTTGACAAAAAATTTGACGCAATTGATGAAATGACCATAATTACACACTTTAATGAGTTGATGAACCCTAATTATATAAATGGTTATTCCAACATAACTTATTTTGACAAAATTTTGACGAAATTTATGAAAATGACTATAGCTACACATTTTGATAAGTTGAGGGACCAATAGTAATGAATTTTTAGTTGAGGGACTATTGCTCTAATTTGATTAAAGTTGAGGAACCATTGCTACAATTTACTCTAATTTGTTCACATAGCTAAAACCCTATTGGAATGTTATCTAATAATTGTTTCATTTTTTTTTCAAGATTACCATTATCCATTTCATTTTCATTGACCCTTTTTTTGAACAAAAAGTGCATGCGAAACTAGAGTCGACATATTTTGTTCAAGAATCTGGTAAAGAATGATATATATTGTTCAAAATGGGACGTTTGGTTTCTTGGTACGCATGATTGACGACCACTCATGACATATTTTGGTGGAGATTTCACAGATAAATAATGTTCATTACATGTAAATAGTTATTTCTTTTAACGTATTGTTAGAATTTGATACAAACATTTCATTAACACTGGATAACAAAATTTATGCCTACAGATCAAAATCTAGCTAGCTGGTTTGTCTACAAGGAAAAATAATTCCTTACATGTTAGAACGCCGCAAGTATTTTTTTCTCCCCTAGTTTGGTGTAGATTGTTGAATATTTGGGGGCCCAAAATGCAAGGTACATGGATCCTCCTAGCCTAGTGACGAAGGAACGAGATGATGCATGCAATGTGAAACTAGCAACTTATTTATACTTGTGGACATGAAACTCTAAAACCCCGTATCTGATTGACCATCCCATGGGCCACTTGCAAAGAAGGGAACAAGAAAGTAACTTAACAAAGGATTTATGTGAAGCACAACAAACATTAAAGCTTATGCACCATGCATCTCATATGCATCGTGATTCTCATCTCCCTCTTTCTCTAAAGTGCCAAACAAAAGGGTTCCACTCACATGCAGGCTTAAAAGAGAGTTTGTACTCTTTTGTTCTATACAGAAGCACCATCTTGAGAGTGATCAGATGGAGTAATAATTAATGGTACCTCAATTCAAACGTTTTGAGGGTGAGATAATGACATACAGAATGGCTTTATCTTTATTGTAGACTTTCGGTCTCATAATATAATAGTATTACATCATTGGACTAAAATATCACAGTTATGAACTCATTTTATGCAAATTGCTCACCCACGATCAAACGGTAGGAAAATTTACTCTCTTTAATCCTCGGGCTCCCTTAATTTTTAAGGTCTTGTCAAGAAAAACATGGAGGGCCATGCATTTTATGAGTATTATGAATTATTACTACTGGTTTGATATTAGTCCCGTTCTGCATGGTCCAAAATTGATTGTGATCATTAATTATCAAAGTTTACAGGTGCCACGGGTCAGGTTCAATGTGGAGTCGTAAATGAACAAAATTCACGATCCTATGTACAAGAATCTCGTGATATTCGTTTAATCAAACTTGGAAAATAAATGATTTATCCACGTGAAGTGTTTGGATTTTGGGTTCACTTTGGTTGGTACCATGGAAAAATGAATCGGCAGAGATGCAGATTAGGTCATATGATCCATCATTTTCTTTTGGAGAAATTAGGTTCTCGTCCTTCTTTTTACTACTCCATTAATTAAAATCTTATTCCTTTTTAATTTTTGATCAAGGTCTTTGGGTATTAATAATGTCACAGCCCATCCCCGAACTTATTGTATTATATTCTCAATAATGTGAATTGACGGAATTACCCCTGAGGGATGGATCGAGTCATTGGAATTGGGCAAAATATTCGATTTATTTTTATTGCCCTAGTTTATTTTGGTCAAGTTTAGACCTAGATATTTTATGGTTGGTGTTGTAAAATGTTGTTTGATGATGTGTTAGTGTGAGGATCACACACACACCCAAAAGATCTCTCCCTCTCTCCCGTGCCTTCCCTCTCTCTTCTCCTTCTTGGATTTTGCAGAAAATCCGTACAAACGTACGGACAAACCTCAAACCAACCCTTTTATGCATAGATCGAGCTCGTGATTAGTACCATCACTTTCATCTCGTCATTACGAACTCAACCATACCATTTTTTGGACTTGGAAGCTTCGGAAAACCTATGAAAAACCTACCCTGAAATTGGCATTGTTCATGCAAGTTCAAACGAAGAGTTTTTAGAGGATTTTAAGTTCACAGGGAGCTTTAGAAGGTCTTCACGAAGCTCGGGGTAGCTCGCTGGGTAGTTTTGGACGTCGGGATTGTGAATTTCAAGTTTGGCCGGTTTCTCTCGAATTTCTCAGGCGAGATCCCGTGATCTTAAGGACTTTAAACAGGTAAGGAAATGTTCTACAAGTTAAGAGCTTCAATTTGGTACTGGTTTCATGAAATTGGGATGAAAAATGACTGAGATATCAAGGTTTAAACATTTTCCAGTTTTCCGACGACAACGGTGGTCGGCGAGGTTCACTAGAGAAGACAGAAGAATATTCCGTCAAAGTTGATAGAATATTCTTAACGGAGAGTAACGGCGTCAGGTAATTTGGACGGAATATTCCTAACGGCAGTTAGGGTTTCCGTTAGGGTTCCCTACGCGTGGCCGCGCGTATTGCCATGCACTTGCCGGCGTGTGGGTGGTCGGAAAATTATTTTAAAAATATGGGGATGTTCGTGGAGTTGTGTAGATCACAATGGTATATTCAACATCCAATTTGAGTAATGTATGAGAAGTTATTAGCTAGTTAGCTAGTATTGGTAATGTACTTTAAATTAACTTTTTTATAGTTGTTTCGCATATAAGGGAGACTTATCCTGAGGACGAATGCAGTCAAGGGCGACTCGGAGGTTACGACCCTTCGACATACCAGTGAGTGGGCTTTTGGTTTTCAGTATATATTTCTATACTTGATATTTTCCTAGAAAATGCGTTTAAATGAAAGTATGCTTTAAAATGCCATGCATATGAAATTATATTCTGTATATGAATTAGTATATGATGCATAATATATAATTGTGGTGTTGTAGACGCTCAGGTAAGCCAGGTGAGTTATGAATTGTGAATGGGATTAATGTTTGTGATTAATTGAGAAGCTTAGAGCTCATAAACCTGCATCCCGGGTGATTGTGAATTACTAGAGATATAGTACATGCCTGTTTATGATGTCACCTCCCACATCATATGCTCACATTAGATCCAATTTAGGTGCACAATCTTGTCGTACAGACCATCATAGGTGGTTCCGACTCGTAGGTGACTAACGATTTATCACCCAACTATCATGAGAGCGTAGTATTAAGTATAATTATATTACACACAGTCTTGTCGTACAGACCCTTTAGTGGTTCCGACTTGTGTGCAGTGTAGCGCCGTATAGGTCATTGTAGTGACTCCGACTAGATTAACTAATGAGCTATGAATTCAGCCGTACTGACTTCTACAGAGGTTCCAACTAATATGTTAATTTCCATGAATGTATTCTCACCTGAGTTACTTATTCTGTTTATATCTTCGCATGACATACTTGTAATTATGAATACGTGAAGCATGAATTGACAATTATATATATAGACACACACACACACACACACACACACACATATTTATGTTTATATTCTATTTCTGGGAAATTATACATGTTTTACAGCAAGGGGTTAGAACTTTTGAGAAATGAAATGATTTTGAAAACATTTGTTTTTGCCCACTCACATATTCTGTTTTGTGCCCCTCCAAGTTTTAGGTAGACTTGCTGTTGGTGGCTCACGAGGATTGAACGGAGGTTCTGACAAACTATCACAATGTACGACATCCCTGGGTATCGTTTAATTAGTACTTATTTTCTGGACTGAACTTAGGCTATTTATGCTCTGATTATGTATTCACACGTTCTAGCACTTATCTTAGCTAGTACCCTTATGAATTGGTTTTTAATTATTCGTATTCTCTATTATCTTTATTGCTTATGCACTGTGCACATGGCTACGTCACCCTCACGTGATGGCCAGCACACCCTGACTCGGGTCAGGGTGTGTCAAATAACATCATTAATGATTATTTATATTTATGACTAAATTTTTTATCATATATTTTTAGTTTCAGTTTTAATTTGTACCCATTTATTAATTTCTTTTTGTGCCCATATTTTTTAAAGTTTATTTGTATTTGTACCCATATATATATTGCTAAATGTACCCATGCTAATTATATGTACCCATTCATGTAAAACCTTTTAATCTTAAAATGTACTCATTCTTAAATATACTAATTTGTTATATGTAAAATGTACCTCCTTTATATATATATATAAAATCTATTCAATTTTTTTCTAATCCATTTTTAAACTTATATGGGTACATTCTTTTTTCTTTGATTTTAAAATGTATCAATGTCAAGTTTAATCGAAGAAATTTACTAATGTATTAAGCCTAATGTCCTTTTTTTTTTTTGTGATTTTGAAGAATGTACCCATGTTTTGATACAATAAAATTTTTGGTTAATTTGGATGAATGTACCCATGTTTATATACACACAAACACACAATAGTATATTTATATTTTAATATTTTAATGCCACAAATTATGGTTTTTTTATTTAAAATCTCATTTATATAAACAACTAAAATTTCTAATTTTTACTTTAAAAATATAGTAACGTACATAGAAATAAATTATTACATTAATTTCAGGGACCTCTATCAAAAATTAAAAACCAACAAGGTTTCAATCAAAGAATATTCATAATTAAGGACCACATCCAAAGTCTCCCTTCTCTTTTTAACGAGTATAGGATATAATAAAAGATTTTGAATGTATGAGTAAATATTATTAACCATTTGAGCTTAATTACTTGAATTAACCAACTGGGGTCAAAATGAATGAAACTAACATGGTCTGTAATATGTGAAATATACAACTAAGTTTAAAATACCAACTAACTATTAGTTTCGTGATGTACTTATTTCTGATGTCGAAAGAATTCACTAAGTTCAGATCCTCCTTTTGCTTAATAAAACAAAAACGATGTATTCGTAATCAAATGCCAAATTACACTTTTGTTGCCCTTCATTACGTGACCTCACTTTAATTACCCGTACCCACAACGACAAAAACCAACACTTGCTCTCCCTCTCTATATATTGCTTAATTTTCCATGATTTCATAGTACACAGCGACTTGCTATTGTATAACACCATGGCTCCGGTGAATATAACTTCAATCAAAACGGCATCAAGTGGATTATGGCAAGGTGATAATCCTCTAGACTTCGCCTTCCCACTCTTAATCGTCCAAAGCACCTTAATCATCGTCGTCAGCCGCTTCCTCGCCTTCCTTCTCAAACCCCTCCACCAACCCAAAGTTATCGCCGAGATTGCTGTAAGTCCTACTCTCCTGCTTTATTCGAATGTGAGACATTTTTCAATTTGTAGTGATAAAAATATTTTTGCATGTGTCTTAGTTATTCATATATAGTTAATTCTTGTTATATAGTTCTTTTTTCTCATTAGTCTATTTGTATAGGGTGGAATTTTGCTTGGGCCGTCAGCCTTCGGAAGAAACAAGTATTACCTACACAAAATATTTCCCTCATGGAGCACTCCAATACTCGAAACCGTGGCAAGCATTGGTCTTCTCTTTTTCTTGTTCCTCGTAGGCATTGAGCTCGATTTAAGCTCAGTCCGACGTCGTAGTGGAAGAAGCGCTTTTGGCATAGCCCTCGCTGGCATATCGCTGCCTTTCCTATGTGGCATCGGCGTCGCTGTCGTCCTCCGGAGAACGATCGACGGATCTGACAAGGCCGGCTTCAGTCAGTTCGTTGTGTTCATGGGAGTGTCACTTTCCATCACGGCCTTTCCTGTTCTCGCCCGCATTTTAGCAGAGCTCAAGCTTTTAACTACTAGGGTTGGCGAGATTGCAATGGCTGCTGCCGCTCTGAACGACGTCGCTGCATGGATCTTGCTCGCTCTCGCGGTGGCCTTGGCCAGTGACGGTGATGATGGCCATAAGAAGAGCCCTTTGGTATCAATCTGGGTCCTCCTATCAGGTTTGTATGGTCCAGAGTTCCGACAATATCCTCGATATTTTCTCATATTTTTTTTCCTTTTCACAATTTTCATTTTTATTTTTCATTTCTTTTAATTGAACAATTCGTGTAATTGTACTCCTGATCTACTCCACCAAATTAGATATTTTAGGTACTAGTTTACTTAGAGCATCTCCACTAGTGCTCAAAATTTTGTCAGTATGTCCTCATGGATAGTATTTAGAAGGCTTCCAACTAAGTAGTACATCACGCTGTTTTAATAGAAGTGGTGGGAAATTTTATATTTTAAGTTATTAATTTTTTAGCACACATATCCCACAATTTGTATAGTAACACATGATGTATCATCTTGTGTACTGGTCACGCTGAAAAATCTTTCCTATAATAGAGGAACTCTCCGGAGACCTTAAGAAAATCCCCATCCCCAAACTGGTAGGCTTGCTCGCAGAGCAATTGCTACTGCAGCATCAGGCGTGGGCCTCACACTGCACTTGTGGCTTTTTTTCCCAACAGTCTAGATATCCTCTTGATTTTTTTTCTTGTTTTATCAACGAATCATACTCTAACGAAATTAACAATTTTTTTTTTAATCTTTTAGTTCCTAAATTTAAGGATTCTACTATAAGGATTTCTTATTGAAGACAATATTTGTTTAAGGACCATAATATTCTCTTGAAGCCCCTAAAAGAGTTCTCAAAAGTGGTGGTAGAGACCCTAAAATAGACATGGTCATGTACATGAAACTATTTCACTCACGTATATGTAACTTTTATTAATTTATCTTTCTTAGAAGTGAAACATACTAATTCAATCGTACGCTTATATTCTAACACATTAAATAGTATAATGGTGATAAATTTTTATAGTACACATAGAACTTATTTCTCAACTTAAACTAAATAATTTAATATGTAATACAAAATCTCCCTTTACATTGGGTTTCCCATAAGTAAATCTCACTTTTATTAGAGATAGTATACAATGCGATCACTTATCATTTCTTTAGTATGTATATTTGTTTAATATTCTGTATATTTAGACCTTGGTAACATTGGCATTTACTGCCTTGTGAATATCAGGTGTTGCATTTGTTGCTTTCATGATGGTGGTGATCCGACCGGCCATGAACTGGGTGGCCCGCCTGAGCTCTCCAGAGCAAGATGCAATAGACGAAGCCTATATATGCTTAACCCTAGCCGGAGTCATGGTATCCGGATTCATTACTGACCTAATTGGTATCCATTCTATATTTGGAGCCTTCGTCTTTGGTCTAACAATTCCCAAAGGAGGACAGTTTGCGGAAAGATTGATAGAGAGGATTGAGGACTTTGTGTCCGGCTTGTTGCTTCCACTTTACTTTGCATCAAGTGGGTTGAAGACCGATGTAGCGAAAATACACGGAGGAGGGGCGTGGGGGCTGTTGGTGCTAGTTATATCGATCGCTTGTGCCGGGAAGATATTGGGGACGTTTGCGGTGGCAATGCTATTTATGATTCCGGCTAGAGAATCGTTGACGCTCGGTGTGCTCATGAACACCAAAGGGTTGGTGGAGCTCATTGTTCTCAACATTGGCAAGGAGAAAAAGGTCAGCTAATTATTATTGGTTTAATTTTTACCACAACATTTCAAATAAATATTGACTATGGCAGTGAAATTTAGTAGCCTCACAAAAGTTCCTTTTTCTTGTCCTGTCACACCTAATTTACAAATTAATAATAATGGAAAACGAAAACAAACAAAAATGTGAAGATTGTACTAATTGCCAGAAAGAGAAATTAAACAGTGAATATTAGCAAAAGCTGACCTCTCTTGCTTTCAAATTAAAACAAAGAGGATGTGTCATAGTCATTTAGTGTACCTCCTATAATATGACACTTGAAAAACCATCATTGATTTTTTAAATATAAAAACATAAAGAGAAATTGTATATTGACGACGATATTTTTCTTGTTGTATTGTGAGTTTTGAACTTTGGACTCAACATCATGAATAAACGAGTTCTATTAATGTCAATATTCATAGTTATCGTGTATGTAAGAACAAATATTCTTAGACCAACTCCAATGGTTGGAGTTAAAACTTAAACTTTTAGTCCATGAAATATAAGTTTTAACTCAGAAACATTTTTTCTCCTCCAATAATTTTAGCCCGAACTGATTAAAGAATGATTTTAGCTAATTTTTTGGTAACTTTTTTAAAAAATAAAATCTATATAGATTATTCTAATATATTTTTATGAATATTTTAACATAAAAATATTTAAATTCTGTTAAATAATGAAAAATCACTAAACCTACCTCATTCTTACATATATGTACCACATGAAAGAACATGGAAAATCACACAACCTACCCCATTCTTAAACACAAATACTTATGTGGGTAGAAAGAAAAAAAAGGAAGAATTGTTTGACGAAAGTGGATTTTGTGTAGATGTTTGAACAAATACATAAATATTTATAGAGTTTTTGGGTGAATTTTGATTTAGATAAAATTTTAAATTGTTTTAGCTGTTGGATTTAATTTTGAGTTGTTAGATCTTCTTTATACTGTTAGATTTACTCATATTCGATCTCAACCGTTAGAGTTTACATATTCATAAATTTGATTTAAAAAATTTAATCTGGAGTGTTGGTTTAACCACGTGGGATGTCTGATAATAAAACATAGTCGTTGGTCTTTTCGTAAGTGGCTGACAACGTCAGCAACTGGGTCCCAACCACTAATCTTGGCTCATTTTTTGGTTAACTTTGGCCCAAAAATAAGTTTTAACCCAAAACCTTTTGTTAGCCCAATGATTAGACAAACTTTGGACGAGTTTAAAACTTAAACTTTGAGTTTTAACCAAACCATTGAAGTTGATCTCATAGATACTAGTATATGCCCACACACAAAATGTATGTGAAATTTTTTTATTTTTGTTTTCAAATTGAAGGAGAGAGGCAGAGAGGAATGGAGAGAGAGAGAGAGAGAGAGAGAGAGAGAGAGTGAAAGGGGTTTATTTTTTAATTTCTTTAAGTTTTTCAAATTAGAGGTGTTAAAAATCACCTGTAGGTGAGGTGTAAACACAAAATATTAAAATTTTGTTTTATAAAATTACGTTACTGCCCTTAATTTTTTTTTTTTTTTTTGTGATAGAAGATTAAATAATTTTTTCACCTTCTTTTGATTGACAAAGAGAGTTTTATTAATATTTAGTTTAGATGAATAAACTTATTTAATCGTATCAGATTAATTAGCGTGGTAATTAAGGTAAGGGTGGCATAGGGTAGGGGGCCATGCTAGGGAATCATTTGAAAACAACAACTCAGCTTTTATCCTCCTCTCTTTGCGATCACTCGTTTACGTTTCAATTATCTGTTAATTTATTAATTAGATCAGGATCAACAACAACAACAGCATATTCACAGGTAATGCAAGTGTGAAAACTTTATATCATCATTTCATTTCTTTGTTTTCCTCTTTTTTTGAAGATTTGGTAAAAGCTTTTGACCAATACATGAATCCTTTGGTGCATTATAACAATTTATCCCCCTGCATGATGGCACGCTTCGATAGTAAAATGTCGTTGAAAAAGATGAGTGACACACACTCAGACTCACACTCACACACACACTTTTTTTTGAAAAAATTAGTATCTAGTATCTAGTTTTTACTGTTCATTGACTAAGATCTTATTAGTTCTCAAATTTTGATTCAAGTCCCTAACATTAATGTGATAATGAATTTACATGTTTATTATATAATTTTTTAATATAAAAATTAGTAATTAATTTAGGGTTTAATACTCACACCTCTATTAAACTTCTAATTAATTTTCAATTCAAACATTTCCAAAATAATAAAAAATTAAATTAAATTAAGTTTGTACCTATTAGTTTTTTATATATATATAAAAAGATTATCAATTTTTTAATCTTAAATGTACCCATTCATATAATTTTTCAAATTTTTTAATCTTAAATGTACCTATTCTCAAATATATCAATTTGTTACATGTAAAATGTACCTTTTTTTTAATATAAAATCCATTCAAATTTTTTAATCCATGTTTAAACTTATATGGGTACATTCTTTTTCGTTGATTTGAGAATGTATCCATGTTTTGGTACAATAACTTTTTTTGTTAATTTTGGTTAATGTACTCATACATATGTGTACACACACACACAATATAATAGAGAGTATAATTTATATTTTATTATTTTTAATCCCATAAATTATGGGTTTATTTAAAATCTCATTAATATAAACAATTACAAATTTCAATTTTTAATTTTTAGTTAAAAAAATATAGTAACTTACATTATTACATTAATGTCAGGGACCTTAATCAAAAACTAAAAACTAACAAGATTTCAATCAAAGAATATTGATAGCTAGGGACCGCATCCAAAGTGTCCCTTTTTTTTTTTTTTTAAAGGATCAGTTGATGGTTTCGTCACTACAATCTATTCTTGCGGGAGTTGGGAAGACTCATAGAAGCATTTCAGTCTCCTCCTAACTACAATCGCGCGATTTACCACCGTTAGAAATCAAACTCAGGTCGTTCTGTCTGAAATACGGATTGAAATTTGTGACCAACTATTGAGCCATCCTTTAATGATTACACTCACACTCACACATGCCTTTTTTTAAATTATTTTTTTTATCACAAATATACAGTCACTAAAGAATTGATTTAAGGAAGAGGATTCTCTTCGGATTCATTTGTGGGGATTATAGGGATCCCTACATCCTAACTGTTTATCATATATTATGCGGTCAATTTTCGTCAAGTACTATTTATGTTTAAGTTTAAATGTAAAAAGTTAAATAATTTTTAACCACACGATACACGATAAATTATTAAAATGTGAAAATTCCTATAATCCTCACGATTTGGATCCTTGATTTTAAAGTCTCTTTTGGAGACATTACACAGTTTTAGAAATGATTAAAAACATGAATATTGGGTATAGTTTGTCCCGTCTGCCTTGGCTTTTATTGTCAATCCACGAAAAAAAAGTTGGGTTTGTATAAATCAATTATTGGGCAATAACTTTCTATTTGAGGATGTTTTATACAGACAAGTATTGTCTGCTCTACCATTTTTCGTGCTCTCCTGTTTTATGTGATCATTGTTAAGTCACGTCAATATTTTATATTAATTTTTTATAGAGATAATAAGATAAAAATGAATGGTAATATAAAATGTTGACGTAACTTAACCGTAACCACACAAACAAAAGAGCACGGAAAGTAGAAGGGTAGACAATCCTTGTCCGTTTTATATACTTTATAGTAATTGTATGTAGCAGAGCCTTGTCCTTTAAGTTGGTGCATGACCTTTCAAGAAAATGAAAGCATCATTCTTAAAGGTTAAGGTTATTCTGGGAAGATGGAGTGATTTTCTCGGTTCGGATCGGGTTGAAATAAATATTTTAATGCTAATTCAAAAAAGTTCGAAATCAAATGTTAGTTTTATTTTTGTTTTTTTGGGTTATTGGAATTTATTTGTAATTTTTGAAGTCGGTTTTGCCTCGGACGTAATTCGGGTTTACTATAATATTTTGAAATCTTCAAACTTTGTGTCCGCCACTTATTATTTATTATTTCTAAATTTTTGTGATATTTGTTGGCCGTTACGTGTGAGCATGACACAATATCATATTAGACAAAAGAAGACAGGATGTATGATTATGAATCAAAACTGTTGGTTGCATAATATATAATGCAACAACGTATATATTACTTTTTACTTTTGCAGTTTACTCTTAATAAATTGCTTTTTGAAAAAAAAAAAAAACCTAGCAGCGCTTCCTCTCCTTCTCTCTTGCGAACAACAAAAAGTCCATTTCGCCGCCGACCCCTTTCTTAGTTTGGATTTTGTTGCAACCTTTCTTCTTCACAATTTCCTTTTCCCCTTCCTTTCTAGAATTTTTCCTATTTCATTTTCCTTTCTAGAATCTCAGGCCATGCCCTTCGTGGATGGCTTGTTTTCTCGACATGCTTCACCATTATCTAGTCGTTCTTTGTCAAAATTCAAGTGTTTTTCACCGTATTTTGTCTTTTGTAGACTAATCCCTATCCTACAATTGCCATTCTTTAACCCCCAACACCCATCATCTTCCATCTCCTTCATAAGTTCCCCCTCATCGCACACCATTCCTCCCACAACCTTTGCTCAAAACTACAAGCGTTAACCTGATTTGGACACCAGATCTAAATCCTCCCCTCACTACCCCTTGCCCGACTCACATGCTAAATATTGAGCTAAGCATGCTGTGGCTTAGCCCAAAGCGAGGGTGGTTTAAATGGCCCATTAGCCCCATCTCCTTCTAAGTTGCATGTGTTTTTGGTTCTTCTTGCTACTGTGTGGTCTGTGAAGGTGCTTTGAATTTCGTGGTACTCTTTTGATGCGGCGTTTTTGGTGGTAAAATTTGGTTGGGGCATCTTGTAAGATCCCACATCGACCAACGGAGAGGGGGGTGATGTGCCTTATATGTACATGCCCACCTCTATATAGCACGAGGCATTTTGGGGACTCACTAGCTTCGGATTCCATCGGAACTCAGAAGTTAAGCGAGTTCAGGCGAGAGCAATCTTAGGATGGGTGACCCACTGAGAAGTTCTCGTCTGAGTTCTAAAAAAAAAAAATCATGAGGGCGTGGTCGGGATCCAAATCGAACAATATTGTGCTACGACAGAGTCGGTCTTGGATGTGACACATCTTTTTTGTTACGGATTGAAATTTTTTGTGTTGCAATGCCTTCATCGAATCCAACGTGGAGTTGAATTTCTTAGAGCAACTACCTTTGTGGTTGCTGGCAAGGTGGTAGTGGCGGCAGCGGGGCATTAGTTGCATTCTGCCTTTGCAGGATAAGGATTTGGGGTCTCATTTTTGTTTTTTGTCTTTTTGTTTGAACGAGTTTTTGGCTATCCCCAATTTTTATTCGGTTGTTTGTTCATTGTTGTAATGTGTATTGGGCCTTTCCTCATCCAATGAAATATGGGAACTTTAATGAAAAGCTCCCGGTACTGTTCACTTTAACGAAAAACCACATTTTTACACTAAAAAGTCAATTCTGGTACTATTCACTTTACCCTTTATTTTGTCCTTATCGTTAAAGCTCAAAGTTTTCAAGCCATTTTCATTAGTTTTCTTATGAAATATTTGTTGTATTTGAAATAAAAAATAAGGATTTTTTTAACTTTAATCCTTCAAGAAGATTGAAATTTAAAATAAACCTGGTGTTAGATTACATATTGATTATAATCCCTTGATGTGTCCTTAATTCAAAATAATTAATGTGCATCTTATTTAATGTCTCCTATTAAATATTTAAATATATTAATATACAAATTTTAATTTATTTTTTTGACCAAAAAAGAGTTTTTTAATTTATTAATTTTATTTAACATTCTTCAAACTTGAAAGATCCAATTAATGTACCTAAATGTTAGTACTGAAATGTGTGTACATAATTGTATTATATTGAACTAATGTATTTAAATGTTAGTATCGAAATGTATGCACCGAAATGTATTATATTAAATTAATGTACCTAAATGTGTATACCGAAATGTATTATAATGAATTTAATGTACCTAAAATGAAGAAGATAAAGTACATCAAAATATATTGTATAACAAAAATTAGTTTATCTAAATGTTTACAACAAAATATATTAAAATAAATGAAATGAAAATGAAAATGAAAATGAAATAAAATTAATACATTAAAAATTAGGAAGAAAAAGAGAAATAATTCAAAATATAACTAATAAATGAGGTTATTAATGTATTAAGAAACTAAAATTAGATTTTGATCTTACTTATGATTTTAATCTAAAAGTCATCTTTACCAAGAATTAAAATGAAATTTTCTATAAAAACTTTTGCAACCTTCTGTTAATGAATTATTTTAAATTTAATCTCAGGTGCTTAATGATGAGACATTTGCTATTCTAGTCCTCATGGCACTCTTTACCACCTTTATCACAAGTCCACTAGTGATGGCCATTTACAAGCCTGCACGTGGCGTCTCAGTTCGCACTCATCGCAAGCTCCGTGATCTGTCAACCACTGTATCCTTCAAGGACGAACTTCGAGTCCTGGCGTGTGTCCATGGGCCTGCCAATGTGCCCTCACTCATTAGCCTCATTGAGTCCATCCGAAGTGCCAAGAAAGCGCAACTCAAACTCTTCCTCATGCGCCTTGTGGAGCTCACGGAGCGATCTTCTTCCATCATCATGGTCCAACGGGCTCGAAAGAACGGCTTTCCCTTCTTTAATAGATTCGGCCGAGGTGCCTGGAGCGACGGCGTTGTTTCCGCCTTCCAGGCCTATAGCCAACTGGGGCGAGTCTCGGTCCGACCCACAACTGCAATATCACCCATGTCCACAATGTACGAGGATGTTTGCCATACGGCGGAAGACCAGAGGGTGGCGATGATCATCTTGCCATTCCACAAACAATGGAGGCGAGACGGCGATAATCATGAAGCGACGGAGATTGTGAGCCAGGCCTGGCGAGGGGTCAACCAGAGGGTGCTTCAAACTGCACCGTGCTCAGTTGCAGTGCTCGTGGATCGTGGATTTGCTAACACCAGAACCCAGCGGATTTGCATTGTGTTTTTCGGTGGGCCCGATGATCGGGAGGCCTTGGAGTTAGGCGGTAGGATGGCCGAACACCCGACAATTAAAGTGACGGTTGTGAAATTTGTTGAGAAAGAGGGTTTGGAGAGTAATGGTCTCATGTTAAAGCCTTCTCCCTCCGAGTCTACCGAGAATAGCTATAGTTTCTCCACAGCTAAAATGGACCGAAAGAAAGAAAAGGTACGCATATTGCATGATGTTACCTCTCGTTCAATACCCTTTCTACGACGTGACATGTGAGATGGTAGTCTGAGCTCTGAGGGGTATCAAACAGTTGCAGAGATCTATTTGATTATTCACAATTGCACCCTTGTCGCATGGGTGTGATACACTAAATGATTAGTCAAATCAACACAGGTCCGTACAATTTACAAAACGGGGATCACACAACACACAAGTATAGTATGTTTATTCTATTTAAGTACGTATTAATCATTTGTAAATTTTGCTAATCAGGAACTGGATGAGGAAGCAGTGGCTGAGTTCAGAAGCAAGTGGGATGGGAAAGCAGAGTGCGTAGAGAAGGTGGCAGCCAATAATATTGTGGAGGGGGTTTTGGCGATAGGAAGTAGTGGAGATCATGATCTGTTAATTGTAGGCAAAGGAAGATTCCCGTCACGCATGGTAGCAGAACTTGCCGACCGCCATGCAGAGCATGCAGAGTTAGGCCCCATTGGAGACATATTGGCTTCATCAGGCCATGGTGTGGTCTCATCAGTGCTTGTGATTCAACAACATGACGTAGCTCATTCCGTGGAGGCTCCAGTGTCGAAGGTTGTGCATGGTGATTACGAAGGGTTCGTCGCAGATGAGTCCTCCAGTACTGTGCTTGAGATGTCTAAGGAATCTGTGTGACCTAATTCACTAATTAACAAGTACAAATAAGTGGTTACAAGTTTCCTTTTCTTTGTTTTTTGGTCGAATAAGTTTCCTTTTGAGAGTGGGTTTCCTGAGATTTGTAGCCAAGAGAACTATCTTACGAGGATTTCTTCATTCTCTGAAATTCATCGGCAGGGCCACATAGTTAAGAATTAGTGTATGAAATTATACAAAGCTACTTTGATATTCTCTTCGAACATGAGCAGGGTTGGTCCATAGATTTTTAAAATCTCAATTAATTTAGTGCATATTTGATCAAGCTCTTAATTTTTTTACTAAAAGAAATACAAAAAGATATAAATAGTTCATAAAATTGAAAATACCGCAGCATACTATAAATAAAGCAACAGTAGTAATTATAGTTTATAAAATTGGCATTTTGGGCAAAAAATTAAGCAACAACAGTTATTATAGTTCATAAAATTGAAAATATAGCGGTATACCATAACTAAGCAAAAAAAAATTCAAATTCAAACATATTGAGTAATTTTGTAGGAAATTTTTATTTCATTATTTAGTAAAGTATATATCCTTTAAAATAATTAGGATGTTGTGACACGACTGTGAACACGAATTTTTCCTGAAACAAATGAGACAAGAACAACGTGCACAAAATAATATTTGTATTTGATGATTTTGGGTTACAATTGTGAACACAAAAATTTCCTGAAACGAAAGAGACAAGAACAACGTGCACAAAATAATATTTGTATTTGATGATTTTGGGTTACAATCTCTCTCTATTTTGATCCTCTGATTCGATCTCCGTAAGGTGTTGATTTATGGATATTTTGTTGATCCAAGGGCCGTGGAGGCTTGATTTTGGATGAACTGTTGGAAGTTTCTTCAAGGGCCGTGGGCTTGATCTTTGAAGGTGGATTTGAGCGAATCTTCAAGGAGCCGTTGGGGCTTGATCTTGAGGATGAATGTTTCTTCAAGGGCCGTTGAGGCTTGATATTGAATAACGGTGATGAGCGGATCTTCAAGGGCTTTTGGGCTTGATCTTGAAGAACAGTGATGAACGGATCTTCAAAGGCTTTTGGGCTTGATCTTGAAGAACGGTGGCTTGTTGATCCAAGGGCCGTCGAGGCTTGATTTTGAATTGGTGGATGATTGTTGGTGTAAAGGGCCGTTGGGGCTTGATCTTGGAAGAACGATGAACGAAGAACGAAGAACACTTTCTTCGAGGGCCGTCGGGGCTTGATCTTGAATTGGTGGATGATTGTTGGTGTAAAGGGTCGTTGGGGCTTGATCTTGGAAGAACGATGAACGAAGAACGAAGAACACTTTCTTCGAGGGCCGTTGGGGCTTGATCTTGAATTGGTGGATGATTGTTGATCCAAAGGGCCGTTGAGGCTTGATCTTGGAAGAATGATGAACGAAGAACGAAGAACACTTTCTTCGAGGGCAGTCGGGGCTTGATCTTGAATTGGTGGATGATTGTTGATCCAAAGGGCCGTTGGGGCTTGATCTTGGAAGAATGATGAACGAAGAACGAAGAACGAAGAACGACTTTCTTCAAGGGCTGTCGGGGCTAGATCTTGAATCGGTGGATTGTTCTTCAAGGGCCGTTGGGGCTTGATCTTGAAGGAGGATTTGATGAAGAATGAAAAGGGCTTTCTTGATCCTTCGGGATTTGCTTGAGAGCTTCGGAGTTTCAGAGCTTCAGAGCTTCAAGGTGTAATATGAATTCCTCCCTCAAATGAATGAATTAGCCTTCTATTTATAGAAATTTCCAAGGCCTAATTTTGAATATAATATTCCAGATGAAATAAGTCGTTTCTGCTAGGTGTTGACACGTGTCCTGTTTGATGACTTTTCCAACTTATTTCGATTTTTTGTTTAGACACACGCTACGTGTAAAATTTATGTAATACATAAGAGTTGAAACTTTGATTTATCGGTCAACATTTATTTACCGAAATTTCGATGTCTACAAATGCCCCCACTTCAAGGCGCGTCGTATACATGTGCTTGTCACGTGTAGGAGATGCGTTTTGAAGTCCCTTAATGTAGATGTCGATCCAAGGGCCGTCGAGGCTTGATCTTGAATTGGGCTGGAGATTTCTTCAAGGGCCGTTGATGCTTGATCTTGAATTGGGTTGGAGATTTCTTCAAGGGCCGTCGAGGCTTGATCTTGAATTGGGTTGGATATTTCTTCAAGGGTCGTCGAGGCTTGATCTTGAAGGTTGAAATTGGACCACAAGGAGCTTCATGTGGTAGATGATCTTTGGCTTTGGTAGTGGATGAATCGGCACGTATTTTGTTGCGCTTGTTGACTTTCCATAGCTTTGATCTTGAACTGGGTTGGAGGATTTTCTGGATTCCTCCAATTGTTGATTTTCCACAGCTTATTCTTGAACTGGATTTGATTTAAATATGGTGGACGCTTGATCTTGAATCGGACTTGTGATTTCCTCAAGGGCCGTCGAGGCTTGATCTTGAATTTGGCCGGAAACTTCTTCAAGGGTGGTTGAGGCTTGATTCTTGAAGGTTGACTCGAACACATGGCAAGCAGGCACGTGGTGAAGGTGACGACTTGTTGCTTTGTTCAATCTTTCTAATTCACACCTGAGTAGTTTGGTTAATGGTATGATCTTCAAGATTGATGTGCTCTTCTTCTAGTTGGTGACTTGATCTTTAAGGATTTGATTCAAGGGTGGTGAAACGGCACATGCAGCCCACAACGCCTAGCAAGTCGACCCAAGAATTTGAAGGTCAAAACGAGTCCTCCACCCAGAGTGATTGCAAACCTGATGATATGAGATACTTTTGATTTTGAAGAAGTAGCGAATGAATCGGCACGTGCTTTGTTGTGCTTGTCTCCACATGCTTCAATGTATCATTTTCCCTTGTCTTATCTATTCTTCTGGCAGAATTAGCATCTTCTCGAGTTCTTCAGCTCAGACTCCTTCTGCTGAGCTGACTGTGCAGGCTGCATTCTTCTCTGCTTGTTTCTTCAGGCAGATGTGGCAGTTTCTTGACTTCGTCAGCTCGGACTCCTTCTGCTGAGCTGACTGTGAAGACTGCATTCTTCTCTTCTTGTTTCTTCTGCATGTTGTCTCCACATGCTGCAAGGTATCATTTTCACTTGCCTTATCTGTTCTTCAGGCAGATGTGGTAGCTTTTTTTTTGGAAGTACAGCAGCAGTGGGAGACGAGTACTCGAGAGCAGTGCTAGGTAGGCAATCAGGGAAGGGTTCCAAGCAGTCGGTTCCTTACCCGGGTTTGAGTGGAGGTTCCGGCATATTGTTTTCTTTATCTTTGTCTTTGTAGGTAAGAACAAGGACAAAGGAAAGGACATGAAGAACGCATGATATGAGATACTCTTGCTTTCTACCCTGGTGATATGAGATACTTTTGCTTTGGTGTCATTTGTTTGCAGAGGTACCCCAAGGAATAAGAAACACTGAGTGACTCGAGAGGCTTTGTTGGGAAGGCATTCTCGGAAATCCCGTCGAGTGTTGATTTTTATAGAGGCACGCAGTTTGTTTCAAAGCGCACTTGAATTTTCGCTTGTAGAAACTCCCTTCTTGGACTTCTAAGATCTTGGTTCGTCCGTCCTCTTCTTTCTTCAACACTTTGAAAAATGTCTGGACCCTCCGACCGTCGTTTTGACTTGAATTTTGGTGAAGAGGCAGTCCCTTCTTCTCCAGACAACATATGGCGCCCATCCTTCATATCCCCTACTGGTCCTCTTACCGTTGGGGATTCGGTGGTGAAGAATGATATGACCGCTGCGGTGGTGGCCCGAAACCTTGTCACTCCCAGAGATAACAGACTACTTTCCAAACGGTCTGATGAGTTAGCTGTTAAGGATTCTCTGGCTCTCAGTGTGCAGTGTGCAGGTTCTGTGTCTAATATGGCCCAACGTCTATTTGCTCGAACCCGTCAAGTTGAATCATTAACGGCTGAAGTGATGAGTCTCAAACAAGAGATAAAAGGGCTCAAGCAGGAAAATAAACAGTTGCATAAGCTCGCACATAGCTATGCGACAAACATGAAGAGGAAGATTGACCAGATGTAGGACTCTGATTGTCAGATTTTACTTGATCATCAGAGGTTTGTGGGTTTGTTCCAACAGCATTTGCCTTCGTCTTCTGAGGCTGTACCGTGTAATGAAGCTCCAAATGTTCAACCTCCGGCTCCTCTTCTTGCTGGAGTTCCGCCGAGTGATGAAGCGCCACCTGATCATCCTTGAAGATCCCCTTCTATAAATTTGATTTGACTTTTTTTTTATGTATAATGCAAATTTATGTAAAATTTCCAGAAAAATAAAAAATAAAAACGGACTTTATTTCTCTCAATGCATTTGTTTTGTTTTGTTTTTTTTTTTTTTTTTTTTTTTTTTGCTGTAAACATACATATATTATGCACACACACATACATACATACATATTAATTTTTTTCACACACGGACTGATCCACCATTCCAAAACCTTTTCTTTTTTTTTTGCATGGTGCTAGCCACCAAGGATCCACTTTCTTCTTTATTTATTTATTATTATTATTTTATTTATTTATTTATTTATTATTATTAATTTTTTATTTTTGCAAATGGTGCCTAATGCATCATCTATTTATTATATATATATATATTATTATTTTTTTCTTTGCACATGGTGCTTGATGCACCATCCATATATATATATATATATATATATATATATATATTATTTTAATATTTATTTATTTTTTTATTGTTTCTTTTGTATGGTGCCTGATGCACCATCCATATATATATTATTTTAATTTTTTTTTAGGGAACTTTAACAAAAAGCACCGGGTACTGTTCACTTTAACGAAAAACCACATTTTTACACTAAAAAGTCAATCCTAGTACTATTCACTTTACCCTTTATTTTGTCCTTATCATTAAAACTCAAAATTTTCAAGCCCCTTTCATTAGTTTTCCTTTTTTTTTATTGTTTCTTTTGTATGATGCCTGATGCACCGAAACCCTTATAATTTTATTTTGTTTATTCTTTTTTCTTTATATATATATATATATATATATATATATATATATATATGGTGCTCTTTGCAAGCTGGGTTCGTGGGTGAAAACCCAGGCCGAGTCCGAGAGACGGAAGAAGGAGGAGGTAGTGCATAGTGTCGAGGAGGAGAGGGATGCAATCCAAGTCCCACGGCACAGCAGCGAGGCAAAGAAGGACAAACTCGAACCCAAGACCCTCGAACTGAGCGGAGGCAAGGCAGGG